TATATATATATATATATATATATATATATTACATATCTAGCATATAGTTTTTCAAATATTAGACACATACGTGGACAATGACTCAATTAATATATAATGAAACATATAATTATTACCTAAGTAATTATAAAATTACACACATATAAATTCTAGTTTTGAGAATTCTTACATTTAATGAATAAAATTCACATCAATGCACAAAATTGGATTACTCGTGTGACTAATTAAACCGAGTGCACAAATATTAAAGTTTAACTCTAGCATGTTTGGTTAATAATATAGCACTCGTCAATTCACATAGTTCAATTAATCACATATTTAGCATTACTTCATCATTGATTTCAAATGGCAATTACACATAACTATAATACAAATATAGATATAAGTTATCCTAATGCACAAGAATCACGTAGTCACTTAGGATGCATATAAATTACTACCTAATTAATTCAATAAATGCAACACACCATCGTTATCTCCTGCATATTTAATTTCTCCAACTCTTTAGCAATTTTGTTTGTTACATTCCGAAGATGAAACTGCGAACAAAAATCCCACACTATCGAATAAAATGGGATCACTATTCTATTTTTATCTTTCTCAAATACGAACTCGTTTGGTTAAAAAAATTATATATTTTCAACAAATATTGCAGCTTGATAAAACTATTATCCAAATTAGGGCACTGTAATTTCCCTTTTTTACCCAAAAGTTTTGCGACTGAAACCCCCGTTCGAAGCTTTTCTCCACTCACTCGGCGGCGCCACCGTTTCGCCGCCCTCTCCTTCAATCCAGTAATCAGACAGATAACTGAAACCCTAGACTTTTACACCGAACAAAAATGAGTTTGTCGGCGCTAATTTCTTTCAGCAATCCACTCTCGCCTGCCTTCCACCGCTCCCTCGCTCTCAAATCACCCAATTACTCCGTCTCGGCGGCGCCGGTGGCGTGCCTCAACGTGGACGTGCGCGCACCGGTTTCCAAGCAAAACCCGTCGATTCACGAGAAGAGGAGCTCGGAAATAATTGCCGACGACAACAAATATATAGTGGGCTCTTACGCGAGGACGCCGGTGGTTTTGTCGAGTGGCAAAGGGTGTAATTTGTACGATATCGAGGGGCGAGAGTATCTAGACCTGACCTCTGGTATTGCGGTGAATGCCCTAGGCCACGGGGACCCCGATTGGGTGCGCGCCGTCACACAGCAAGCTGATGTGCTCACGCATGTCAGCAACATTTTCTACTCTGTTCCACAGGTGAAAATTTCTTCCCTGCTGATGAATTGGGTTCTGATCTTGTATTCATCACTGGAAAAAAAGATTGGATTTTTATTGGATGATCTGTGTATTGTATTCCTTTGATTTTTTTGTACTTTGTTCTTCAAGAAGGAAGATTAGTGAATGTATTGGTTAATATCGAATATGACTTCGTCTATTTTTAATCGTAGTAGTTTATAATGATGGCGTACGAATAATGTGTTATGCGTATTGCATTGGGTTTTGGGGCTTAGATTTTTAGGGATATTTCCGAACAGATAAATGCTGCGTCTGCTGAACGATGAATGGTGATTGGTTCTTATATTAATAAACTAATACATGTCAGCGAGTATTTTTCTGACCGAAGAGGCTAAATTTGCCGAAAACTGAGTGTGACCGCGTCTTGGTCTCGCCTTTTATGTTAAACTAATATTTGTGGCTTCGGGGAGGATAATTTTAAATAAACTGTTGACTTTGAATGAATAAAATAAGAAAACGTCGTCGCTATGATCTCTACTTGATGAAATTCCCACCTTAAAATGTTGGTCACTACGTTCCATCGATCTTTTTACACTAAATTCCTAGTTCCAGAAATGTTACAAGATTAAGGCCTCGTTTGGTTGGGTAGATTATCCATGATTAACTAAATAATCGGACTTTATTTGATGTTTGGTATCCTCAGTAACTTGCCGGATCGACCCGCAAATACTATGTTATCATGCCTTAGCTTACTTTCAAGTTATATCCTTTAATTGGATCATCGAAGATCCAATAATGTAATTGTGTTTCATTAGATTTTTATATTTTATCTTGGCTAATCTTATTTCGGCAACCAAACGAGGCCTGAGTGTTCTTTGAAGCTTGTTACATGGTTATTGATATTGTATTATTATTGCATTTTCAAGTTGTTGTTGACCTTTTCAATTTATAGTTGACTTCTGTGTTCGTCCCGATAATTTTTCATTATTAAACTTGGTAATCTTTTTTTTTCTTTTTTTTTTCCGCTTCTGCAGGTTGAGCTAGCCAAACGTCTAGTATCCGGCTCTTTCGCCGACCGTGTGTTCTTCTGCAATTCCGGAACCGAGGCAAACGAAGCCGCAATCAAGTTTTCTAGAAAGTTCCAAAGATTCTCACACCCTGATGAGAAAGATCCTCCCGTGGGGTTTGTTGCCTTCAAGAATTGCTTTCACGGTAGAACAATGGGTGCTCTCGCGCTAACGAGCAAAGAGAATTACAGGTCACCGTTCGAGCCCGTAATGCCAGGTGTCACTTTCTTGGAATACGGTAATACTGAAGCGGCTGTGGAGTTTATTCGTAGTGGAAAAATCGCTGCGGTTTTTGTTGAGCCGATTCAAGGGGAAGGTGGTGTATATAGTGCAACCAAGGAGTTTTTGCAGGCACTACGTACTGCATGTGATGACATTGGCTGCCTTCTTGTATTCGATGAGGTAATCATTCAATTTGCAAATTTTTTTCGTCTTAATTTTAATATTTTTATATAATATATGCGGTTATGCGGTGGATGTTATTTGACTTACGAACTAGGTATGTTTGATATCGTCATGCGTATCTTATGTCACTGCTCGGTGCTCGGATACGATATATTTTGTATTGTTTGGCATATAATAGAATAATTCTGTGTTACAATTGGGATTAATTAATTTTGAATGAGTGTATTAGGGGACATAGAAAATGTTTGGCATGACTTCGTGTTGAAATATTCTTATGATAAATTCTCGTTTCTGCATGAAAATTGCCATTAATGCCCCTATCATGCCTTTTTTGTATACCATAGTTTTTTATTGGACAATTTGAGCAAATGTCGATATTTTAGATTTAATTATTTTCTCCACCATGCTTAATTTTAGGGACATCTCCAGCACAATACAATAATATTTGTTGTTTCTGCGTGTAAACTGCATTCAACTCCCCCATGTTTTACTCTAATTTTTAAAAAACTCCGCGTGTTATAAATATTAGCAAAATCCCCTCTATGATTCAATTTTATTAGCAAACTACCCCCTTAAAACGCATCCTTTAGAGGGTTTTGTGTTGTAAAAAATGCACCGTAGACGGTTTTGCTAATATCTATAACAAGGATTCGGTATAACATATTTTATTATTTTATTGTGCTGGAGATGCACCATGGGGGGGTTCTGTTGTAAAAAATGCACCATAGGGGGGTTTTTCGCTAATATCTATAATACGGATTCGATATAACACAGGGTGCTGAATATAATAAACTCTTTGTTTTTTTTTTTTGTGAGGATTTATAAACTCTTTGTTTCTATTGTATAAAATTTTGCAGCAATAAAAAAGTTGTCACACTAGTGTGGAATTTTTTTGTTAAACTCAAATCTTCTAACAAAAATCGAAAATAGGGGAGCTCCAACATATTTAAACCTTTTGTCTCTAATAACCGAGTTCAGGTACCAACTCTCCTAATGAAAGCTGGTCATCGGCATGAAAACGCATGTAGCCGTCATAATTTGGCATTGCTTCTTTTCTATTTCCCCATTAATTTATTTCATAATTCGAATAGTAGTATCACTTAACGGGCTTTTCTGTAATACCCCAAGGTACAATGTGGGTTGGGCCGAACCGGCTACCTATGGGCCCACGAAGCATACAGAGTATACCCCGATATAATGACGGTGGCCAAGCCTCTCGCCGGAGGTCTCCCCATCGGAGCCGTACTAGTCACCGAAAAAGTCGCCTCCTCCATCAACTTCGGCGACCACGGCAGCACTTTCGCCGGAAACCCGCTCGTCTGCACCGCCGCAATTGCCGTGCTTGATAAAATCGCGAACCCTACTTTCTTGGCCGGAGTGGGCGAAAAGGGTAATTATTTCAAAGATTTATTAGTCGAAAAATTGGGGGGAAATTCCCATGTGAAGGAAATACGAGGATTCGGTCTCATCATTGGTGTGGAGCTCGATGTGCCGGCATCGCCGCTAGTCGATGCGTGCCAAAAAGCGGGGCTTCTTATTTTGACCGCGGGGAAAGGGAATGTGGTTAGGATTGTTCCACCGTTGATTATATCCAAGGAGGAGGTGGAGCGAGCGGTTGAGATCTTGGCCGGTTGTTTTCCGGTTCTTGATGATTAGTTAGTTTCTATTATGCTATAATATATATTTGTGGAGGTTTGAATTTTTATTCTCTTTCTAAATATTTGGCCTTTTAATTGGCTAAAATTATGTGTGTTTGGATTTTATTTTCCAATGGAACTAATGAAAGTGTTTGCTTGTTTATATGGTATAAGAAGCATCCGTTTCTAGTGTGGTGTTTGTTTGTGTTATGTGGTTATTTTTATGGTACACCTAGTGAAGGTAATACTGCGTGATTTTTTATCGTTGATCTACACACATCAGCTGTAGATGTGCGTGTATTTGTGAGTATATGAATGGTAAAATAATATTTTGAGCGACAACGACAATTTTCATATGATTAGGCGAAAAATGTTGTCACTATGTTTGTAATTCTGATGTCCTATTATCTCCTCAAACTATGTACTCCTTCCGTTTCTTTTCAAATGTCACTTTAGCCTCGTAATTTCTCTCATATTAAGTGTCACTTTAGATTTTCAAAGTACAATTAATTATTTTTAATTCAACTTTACCCAACGCTAATGATCTATTAATGAGGAAGATGAAAATCCACACAGGGTTAATTTGGTCAAAATAAGGACATTTTCCCGCAAATTAAGACCATTTGATAGTGTTCCTAGTTAGTTTGCATCTATCTTAGACGACACTTAAAAAGAAAAAAAATCAGTTAAAACCTCAACGAACAGTGTTAAGAAAAATAAAATACTAAATATATATGTATGGATCTTAGAAATTAATAAACATTAAGACTAAAATACCCTCCCTCCAATTATCTCTCCATTAATTAGAAGAGAGTAATCAATGCATCATCCAAATTACATATTCTTACATAAGATGGCTTACATCTCGTCTCTAAATTATCCCCAAAGAGGAACAAAAAGAATCCTCAAGAACAAAACATTTATAGTAAAATAAAAAAAAAAAAAAAAGAAAAAAAGAAGAGTAATGTGGCTGCATAATAAGCTGAGTTAGGATCTCTAACCTAACCATCCTAACTAGTTACCTTCACTACTACAAGACCACATGGAAATGTGTTAAGCTGCAACTTGTAATTAAACCCTATCATATAGTTGACCGTACAGTTTGTCCTAAACCGAGGTTAGCCCCCTTATATAGTACTATACTTGTCGTTTTGTTCTATATATTGTTATATATATTTGTCTCTGGCTTTGTTTAGCAGGAGAGAAGAGGTTCCTCCTCGAACGCGATATTTAAATCCGGAAGCACAAACTTGGGATCGAACGTGGGGCCCGCGACATCGTTGTTTGATGTCGAGGACTGTTGTGTAACAATATCTTTGTCGGTTGACTTCTGCTGAAGTTGATCGGGGATTTTTTCCCTATCCAAACGGGGTTGCAGCTCAATCTGTAGAGAAGATTCAAAATTATTTTCTGTATAAGCAAAAATCAAGTGTACACGAGATAAAGAGATAAAGATCCACCGATCATTCACACACATACCCACATGGATGTGTGTGTTTTTGTGCGGGAATGAAAAACGAAACATCAAGATTCCATGGATGGATGAATCGGTTCGACATTTTGTCAACATTGACACGATTTAGGTGTCTTTATGGCTAATCTTGATAACGAAAAAAATAAATAATAAATGGTCTAAAAATCTTATGCGTGAACGATAAATCGAAATCTTAGATGCATGAAGCCTTTTCCAACTAGAATTAAATTATTAGAGCATAAATATTTCGCTTCTAAGTAGTTTGCCATATATATATATATAATAAAAGGTAATTAGGAGTAAAATTGCACCTTCATTCTCTTCAAGTTCTCGTTTGTAGCCCTCTGTTTCTCCAAATTCACTCGTAAGGCAACTATTTCCTGATAAGTAAAAAGTCGATGGCAATGCCGTAATTTCAGCAAAAGATTATTTCGAATCATCTATCACATATTCGTAGAAGAGAAGAGTAGAAATACCCTTTTCAACTCTCTTCTTTCCTTTATCAACGAGTTTTCTTCGTCTTTGAGTTCTGCTAAAGTCTGAAAAAAACAAAAAACGAACCTTAAATTATTTAGAGTCACGAAAGTATCATTGTTTTGGATAAAAGCGAAAGAAATATAATATATTAAGTACCTTCTTCTTTCTTGACCTCTTTAATCCCGTTTTTTCGCTATCCCCGTTAACCTGAAATAGAAAGATACTAGTTGTTAATAACCCATCAACCTTATACATACAAACAAGAATCAAGACAATATAAATACTTACAAAAAAATAGTCGAGAATTCCTAAGTGAGAAGGGTGGTTGCTAAGGTAGGAAAACGAAGTATTTGGCATCTCTAACTATTTTCAACGAGCTAGCTAAGAAATAATCAAGACGACTAAATAATAGTGCAAACGGATAATAAGATTTTGAGGCCACCCTATAATCGACACTACTTCGCTTCATTTACGAGCCATTGAATCGATTCATTTGAAACAAGCCAAAAGAAGTTAAATGGACAACAAAAATGGAAGGGTGTAGTTGAAGGAACCCCCCCCCAATAAGTCATGAGTATAGTAAGACATTGATTTGTCATTACATTATAAGTTTACAACAACTTGATTTGGTGACAGAAAAATTAAAGAAATAAATAAATAAAAATATGGTCCCCATATTCCACCTCCAACCACAAAGCTAAATCCACACCATACATATTTTTCCACCAAACCACACCTTTCCATACTAAGTAAATTTTTTTATTTTGGCATACACACACCATCATGTTAAATACATTGCACATTCGATTTCAACAATAATATCCACTTTCTTGGACCCACAAAAAGAAAAAAAATAAATAAATAAAAAGATATAGGGTATATTACAGTCACCCCTAAGGTGAGATCAAATTACAAAAAAACCTAATTACAACCATCTCCCGTGAATTTTTTACCTTATGATGTCACATGGAACATTCTACATTATGTGGAATATTCTCCAGTTTGCATCTAATTAACCCCATTCGAGCTTCATATTTTAAAACTAGATGATCATACTATGTGTCTCTCGTCTTGTAAATATCAGATTGTGCGTCATAAGCTACAATTTTGCACAAAACGAGTACAAACTAGAAAACATTCTACAGACTGTAAAAGATTTTTTTAAAGTTAAGGGGTTTTTCGTAATTTGACCTTACCTCTGGAGTGGCCGTAAGTTATCAAATAATATATAATAAATCAAATAAAGAAAAAACAAAATAGCTCACCATAGAAGAATGAAAATGTTACATTGCCTTCAATAACTTAAGAAAATAATTAGATAAAAAGATGAAGATATTAATGTAGCTGATAATAATTTGGAAAAAAAAAAAAAAGTTGGTTTGGTTTAAAAACACACGTGGCGCATTTAGGTGTTAAGTTTTGCGGTGCCTCGATATGTTCGCTTTGTCTGACTACAGGTGGCATGAAATGGTTGGGTAATAAAGACAACCAAAACTCTGGATAATAAACTAGATATGTATAGTGAGGTCGCACGGTAGCAGTAAATGCCCACGACCGCACACGATTTTTCCCCTTATCTAAATATTTTATATATATATATTAAAAAAATTAGTAGAAAAATAAAGTGCACAACCACTAAACAACGCTCCCCACCAAACAAAAAGAACGCAGCAGACCTATTTTGCCACGAAAACACGCCACCGCTTCTACACCAGTTCCACCACCACCCCTACTTGTAATGACCAAAATACCCTCGCTGACGTGGATTAATCCAATCTACTTATAGTTGAATTAGTTTAAATAAATTGGCTTAATTTAGTTAGAGGAACGCGACACTTGGGGAGAAAGCTTTGACCTTTTTTTCACACAATACTTGGACTCTAGAAAAATATAAATACATGGGACTTTTATCAATCTCGGGGATAAGTTTTCTCGACCGTGAATTGACGAAAATACCCTTCGAAAAAGTGGTGACGACGAATGGAAAAATTGGTCGGTGCCGGAACCAGATCCGGTTAATGACTAAATTGTATTGACCCGGGTTTGATACGGAAGGAGGGGGAGGGGTATTCTTGTCCGGTTGTGGAAACTGAAAAAACGGTGACAGCTGACCCGGAAAGGAGAAGAAGCCAACAAAATGCCCTTGACTTCTTCCACAAGCGTGGCAGTGTAAATATCCAGATTTGTCAGGGGTATTACGGTCAATTCACAATCGAATGACAACTGACACGAGGCTCCAGTGATGAGAGGAAGAAAAAAAAATAAAGGGGATAATGTGAAAAGACACGCTCTCCTAGGATTGATGATACAGTTACGAAAATACACCGCCGTCCGCCGGAAAATTGAGAATAAGGAACACGTGCGCGTGCGCGTGTGTGAATACATAGTGTTTGTTGTGTACAGTGTACAGACCTTAGATCTTGCGGTGGCGGAGAGATTCCGGGCGGGTGGTCCGCTCGAGTCTTCGCGTCCGTCTACGGCGGCGGCGCCGCCAGATCCGGCAGAGCCGCCGCTGGGGGAGGTGGCGCCGCTCCATGAAAGCGGCGTGGTGGGGCTGGCCCTCTGTTCGTGGTGCTTCTTCGGGTGGTTGTTGTTGACTGCTGCCACGGGTACTCTCGACCTTCGCTGGCGCACGCTCCACTCCAGCCGCGGCAAGGCCGCCGGCTTCGGCGGCGGCGGCGGCGCCGCCCCGTGGAGGCGCACGAGGAACTCCGCCACCATAGTGTCATCTGCGATGGCGGCGCTCACCCACTCCTCCTCGGCGCCACTCATGCCTGCTCGATTTTGTTTCTATTTGGGTCTGCTTTTAGAGAGAGAGAGAGAGAGGAGAGAGAGAGAGTGGAAAATATGAAACGGTGGTGACGAAGAAAATCTGAGGGCGAGTTATATATATATATATATATATATATATATATATTGCTATGAAATTTATCAATAATAAATAAATAAATAAATAAAATAATTATACCTACATAGGTGACGACCAGAAGTATGACATGAGTGTCCTTATATATACACACACACACACATATGTGTACGTGTATTTGTGTGTGTGGTGAAGATGCTTATAATTGATAACTCCTTTTGTGTGTGTGTGTGTGTGTGTGTGTGTGTTTTGGGGCGTGGCGTATGAATTTGGAGTCATTTTATTTTATTTTTCTTTTTTGTGTTTTCTATTTTTTTTATTTCTTATATAAATTTAGGATATATTGCACTTCACCTCCCTATAAATTTTTCATTTCTGCACTTCCCCCTAAAAATTCAAAAAATGGGATATCCCCTTTGAAATTTATTTTGTTGCGCTTTGCCTCAGAAGTCAATTCCAAGTGGTCATTGTGCACCTTAAGTAACATCTTAGAGGGGGAACGTGTAGAAAAATAATATTTTAAGGAGCAATGTGCAATAAAACTAATATTTAAAGGGGCAACGTGCAACAAAAATACTCGATTCTAGTAAATTGTCGATTGAAAGTTTGCTATCAGGCAACGTGCAACAAAGAATAACATTTTGAATGGGGTATTCATTTTTTTTACTTTGATGGGATAAAGTGCAAAAAGTATAAATTTATAGGGGTTGACGTGCAATTTTCCTTATTTATAATAATATTAGGGTTAAATACACTTTGCACCCCTGAACTATGGTCTATGTAACACTTACCCCCTTAAAGTATAATTTGTAACACTTACCTTCCTCAACATCAATTATTTTATATTTTAAAATTTAAAGCATAATAAACATAACAATCTAATAATTATTGAATCATATAAAATTGCAAAATAACTAAAATTAAATTATTGGAAAAAAAATAATAAGTAATATATATTTTATTATAATGAATGAAAATATATTTTAAGAAATTAATGAATTAAAATAAATTTAAATACTTATGATTACTATTAGTTATGTATTCTATTAATTGGTCCAACCAACGATTATATGTTATTTATTAAATATGTACCTAAAGCAAAATAATATTTTTAAATTTTAAAATATTGCATTTTTCAACATAAAATTTTAATTGTATAATTTAATTATCCTTTTAATTATTCATTTCAATAAAATAAAAAATTTAAATATTAAAATTTGAAATAAATATTAAATTATGCTTGAGGAGGGGTAAGTGTTACAAATCTTATACTTAAAAGGATTAAACTCTATTTAACCCATAATAATATAAACATTTTTATTGGTGATTGTTTTGGGGGTGGGCCCCGTATAAAAGATGTGGCATGAGGGGCTGCTTTTATTACTTATGTCTTATGCTATTAAACTTTATACCCTTTTCTCATCAATAAGAAAGCAAAAAGTGGTCTCCAATTTTAGGTTATTTTCGGAAATTTCAAATAAAATTTATCCACATATATTTAACATTTAATATTTGAATATAATTAGGTATATAATTATTTATTTATTTTGTGACCCTTATTTGGAAATATCTTCATTTGTTTAATTACTTGAGGAATTAGTTAAATTATGTACTTTTTGAGCTTTTTATTTGAATGTTTTCACCTTTTCTTTTTCTGCTTTGGCATAAATGAATAAAATTTGTAATATTTGAATTATTTACAAAAGTAGCATGTGATTGTTAAAGATTCCTCACTAGTTACTATATTTTAAAGAAAATGTAGACACAGTATTTCAGTTCGTGTTACACTTCACAATTGTCCTATTTTAGGGTTATTGAGATGCTACATCCGATGTAATAAATCGGGTGATTTTTAATCATCAACACATAAATATGTATGAAATTATGTGCAGATCAACAGTTAATAATCATCGGGTGTAGTATCAAATAAGTCCTATTTTAAGATGTCCTTTCAATATTTTTTAATAGGGGAAATATGCAATACCCCCCTCATTTAGAAAATATTTTGAATTAAACCCAATTGACTTTAAAGATTTTTTCCATAACCCAAATCCCAATCTAAATTAGTGAGACCCCCCTTACCAAATATGATAAGACTAAACTGCCCCTATGTGTTAGAGTTTAATTATATTCCTTACTCTGCGTACCCCTCTCACAATTCATTCTCCCTCTCTCACGGTAAAACTCTCTCTGTCTTTCATAATTTGTATTCAGTTTTTTTTTTTTGTACATTTTTCTTTTCCTTCTTCTGCAATTTTTTTTTTCATTCTTCTGCAAAACGTTTAACTCTCTTTTCATGCTTTACCCGTTTAGATGAAAACCCGACCCGAACCCAAATCACTATTTCTAATCAAATTCTCGTCTCCGTATTTTGCTTAATCCTCAGCAAAAACACTCAAAATCGAATTCGCAGCGAGGTTTTATTTATCGACGACACCCATTTGGGATATCTTCCTCGACGGAGAACGACGATTGAGGATCGAAAACTCGGTTTACAGATTATTGAAAAGCAGTCACAATGGTGAAGACGACGAAGGGAGGCAAAACGATGAACCCTACCGATTCCTACCGCAAAGAGATCCGCAAAAAGGAATTGAAGCGGGTAATTTTCCATTTCTATTCTCTATTGATGTAATTTTCCCCCCTTGTTGATTATGTATTTTTCCGTCCTCACGATTTTTTAGGTTATTTGTGCAATATGAAATCATGTGTGGGGATATTGTTGGAACAATTTTTTTTTTCTTTCTTTTGTTTTGGATTCTTCGATTTTGCTTTATAAATTCAAGTTTAGTCAGTGTAAGTTTTCACTCAATTGAAATAATTGTTTTTTTTTTAAAAATATATTCTATTATAGTATTAGGGAAGCTGATTAACATCGGTCGTTTGTTTTGCTATACCTATGGATGTTTCTGTATGAAAAAAGTTGAGAAATTGGGCATGTGTTGTAGTTGAGTTTTATTTCTACTGCACATTTTTAGAGTGATGATGGCGTAACAGTTTTAATGTTTTATGATTCAAATTTGTTGTTTGTGTCAGTAAAAAGTTTCAAATTGTTAAGTATTTTGAAGAAATGTTGTGCATTCTAGAGCTTCTAAAATCATTGTTGAATTTATTGTACAGAACAAGAAGGAGAGAAAGAAGGTTCGGTCTGTTATATTCCCACTGTCATGTTCAGTCTCTTTTCATAATAGTCATATTCCCACTGTCATGTTCAGTCTGTTATACAAACTGTAGTCACATAATAGTCATATTCATGCTTCTACTGTCTGATAATTATAATGTTTTACAAAGCACAATCACATTTACATAATAGTCATATTCTTACTGTTAATCCTGTTCAATCTGTTATACAAACTGTAGTCACATAATAGTCATATTCAGGCTTCTACTGTCTGTTAATTATAATGTTTTACAAAGCACAGTCACATTCACATAATAGTCATATTCTTACTTGTTAATCATGTTCAATCTGTTATACAAACTGTAGTCACATAATAGTCATATTCAGGCTTCTACTGTCTGTTAATTATAATGTTTTACAAAGCACAGTCACATTCACATAATAGTCATATTCAACTATAGTCATATTCGGAGTTGTAAATCTGTCGAGAAAAAAAAATATCAATTTTTTGTTTAAAAAAATTAAAAAAAAAATATTTTTTATTAAAAAATAAAAAAAATCCGAAAATAATACAAAAAAAAAAAAATCCTATTTTTTGATTTGGTAGCAAATTTTTAGAAATTTGGAAGTAGATTTTTAGGAATTAGATTATTGTTATGGAAAGAGAGAAAAAAGGAATAATTGAGACTAATTATGCTAATTGACATAAGGGTAGAATTGGAAATACAAATTATAGGGGGTTATCACAAAGAAAGATTTAAGGGTTGGACATATCACCATTTATTATCTATATGAGGGGTTTATTGCTAATGACCCCTTTTTAATATTGAATAAAGTAGGATTGTCCATGGGCCGGTTTGACCCACCAATCAACTCAATTTCGATCGATATTTTTTCATGGATAATCAACCAACACCCAGCCCATTCAAGTTGGGTCGATGATATCAACCAACTCATGTATAGCTGGGTCTATAATTGTTTATAATATGCTAAATAATTGGTTAGTCGGGTAATATCGGCCAACCAACTTTATTAATTATTTATTAGTTATCTAATATTGACTAAACTCAAAACACACAAACCTAAATGGAAATTAACTATTTCGATGTATTCAATTCTTGTTCAGTTCATGTTAATTGAGAAACACATAAAATTTCAATATATTGTGTCGTATTTTGGATTTTTTATTTATGTTGAACTATTTTAATTTTAAGACACATGTGTTGAAATATTTGAATTTGTTATAATACTGGTGAACTATTTATGTTTACGCATATAGCTTATGATATATTAATTTATCTTGATTAAATATTGTTAAAGTAATTATTAATTGTAATAATATAATATTGTCGTGATACAATATTAAAAAAAAAAATTTAGAAATATTGGTGACCCATCAACCCAATCCATCAACCGAACCACAAAGTTGGATGTCAACCAACATCCAACCCATCTAAGTTGGGTCGATAACGGTTTTCAATATTTATCATAGTTGGTTAGTTGAGATGGGTTGGTTTAATGGTCGGTAATCAACTAACACAACCCACGGACAACCCTACAATAAAGCATATCGTTAGATTGTAATGTTTAGATCTAAAAGACATAAATTATATCTAATGTGATTTACGTCTCTAGCATAGTTTGCAAGCTATTATACGAGAGCGTAGATTTATCCAATACACCAATACGTTGACTGCGAGTTCCTTCATTACCAAAACAAAAAGTAACGATTATTTTCAAGAAATGGAAACACCTCGAAATATATTCCAAGTTATGTATTGATATATGAAAATTTGTACAATTTTAATTTTCGATACATGTTTTACTAGTTGTTATTTTTATTTACGTATATAACTTTTGTTATATTCAATTTCGAGCACTATTAATTAAAATCTTGGGTTTTGATTCTAAAAGAATAGACCAATGTAAAAAGATACTCCAATGTTTATTTTCCAACACTTGTACTTTAATTACTTCAACAAAATCTAGTAATGGGGACTGCACTTTTTACACAACTTTATCACCATTGTCGGGTGAGATGCACGCGGCTAGATAGCGAGTGAGACGGCCAAAATACGTAATATCGTAATAGAATTGTTTTTAAGAATGTTGGCAGTGCACATAAATATAAAACGAAAAACAAGTGTTCTTGTATGAAAGCGACGAAGTTATTATTTATTACTACTGAATATAAACCTACAAAAAGTATTTATGTACTTGCACAACTTTTGGTAATTTTATTTATTCTTTTAACTTATTTGTTTTATATTTATTTCATTTCTAAGATTAAACTTTATTTTTTTATATTTTACAAATTAAATGGGTCGGAATAATAATTAAAATTACTCGCATACAATTACATTTATCAAATATCATTAAGTTTCAATTATTAAATAAATTTAATTGTTCAACATTCGACGTTATAGCATTCAATTACTATTATTAAATCATTTAAATAATCGTTCAACGCTCAACATTTAATCCATCAAATGTAGTGTAACCTAGATGTAGCATGATTATTGCAGCGATATATTGGCAATTATTTACTATTGGATAATGTTATTTATTGATGATCTGATAAGATTATTTTTATGCTACACTCACAGATTATATTTGATGAAATTATACATTGATCTACAGGTACCAATGTGTATGTACGTATCTTTGTGTATATATATGAATGTTATATGGTAAAAAAATATAAACAGCTCTTGAAAATATATTATTTTCAATTAGCAAAATTGAAATTAATATTAAATGATTTTCATTTAAGAACATGATCTATGCATTAATTGAATTTTTATATAGGTGTGCCATTTTTCAGTTACAACTTAATTACATATCCACCATGTGTCCTTTGACAGTTTCCAATGATGAATCAATGGGAATTGGGAACATCGATGAATTTACTAAGCCTAAAAAATTATTTATTACTTTCATAGTTAAATTCTTTTACTTCCTAGATTTGTTACTTGGATTTTTAAACCATTTATTAGTCAATAAAACTTACAAATATATAATCACTATGAATAATTTTTTTTAAACGTCGTTAATATAATTTTAATGATTAAAATTTGAAATAAAAATAGAATATCCGACTTCCAAATATAGCCCTCTGGTTATTCTAAGTAGGAATTTGTTTAATTGAGAAATTGTAATTTTTTTTATTACGTTTGAGATGAGAAATTGGAGTATGAGAAAATCCTTAAGCTTGGGCCCATTATTAATAGTGGCCCACTACCACTTAATTCCACAAAAATGGGCCAAATTCCGCCTATTCTAATATGAAAATATTAAAATTTGGAACCATATTTTTCATTTCGATTTCTGATTCTTCCGAATTTATTTGGAACGATATTGGAATGGTATATAAAATTATTGAAAATTCTGATTTCTGATCCGATTTTAGTACGAAATATTTCTATGGGTTTTCGAAATATATAATATAATTTTATGATATATTTTGTAACTCCATAATATAATTTATGTTATGTTTTATATGAAAAATATAAATACCGAACAATCAAGTAAATTAAAACCTTAGAAAATATTAATTGGTATCAGAAACTTTATATTGTATTTTTCCTTATAGGAAAATCTATGTTTCAATTGTTGGTCCTACATGTGTGTATTTATTGCGTTTCGTCGAACTTTTTTTTTTTTTTTGTGTTTTCTTGCATTTTTGTGCAAAAATTTAAAAAATATAGAAAAATATTGTGAAGATTTCCATTATATATCCGAGTTTGGAACAAGAGATTATAAACTAATGTAATTTCTGAAATTTCGCCGATTCGGAGGCATGCCGAAATCATAATAAATATTTGCATTCCGATTTGTTTGGAACGGAAATTGGAACCCATTTTTTACTTCTGAAAAATTTTGAAATTTTTTCGAAAAAGGTCATTTCCGATCTATTCATTCTGATTTCCACCCCTACTCTACGTGCAGTACCGTATGCACTAGTTGATCTACGCACCAATGTGTAAGTGTGTTTGTATGAATATGAATAATAAAGATCTATATAAACCTCTCTCTGTCTCTTTCTCACGACAGTCTTTGAGAACATTTTTTAGATGCAATCAAAGTGTACTCATAGCTCAACCTATTAAGGCCTTTTAGAATAGGGGATTTGGTAAATGTCGTTTCAGTTTAAATAAAATCGTTTCAACTTGCAACGTGATTTTAACTATTTTTAGGCTGAATTTGGCAAAACTAAGACACGTAATTTATAGTTATTTAAGTTAGTTTTCTAATCCAACTTGAATGATCAAGATTGGACGCTGGGAAATAAAGATAGTACGCATGAATTTTTCATGTAAAAATTTATTCTCAAATATTCCAATATCCCAAAATTAAATCCTAATTCCTAACAACAAACAAACAAGAAACTTGTTATGTATCTTAACTTGAACCTAAAATCCAAAACAACAACATAGTTTTTTCACATGACCAACAAAGTTTTTTTCATAAGCAAAAAGCCATAAACAAGAATCTTCAACAATCACTTTTCCCCTCTCTCTATATATAACCACACACGTATCAAAATTTCCATAAAAACAAAAAATATAAAAAACAATTAAAAATTATTATGAATTCGATTTCAAATTGGCTATGTACAAATAGCAACAAGAATTTGTTCGTAAAGATAGTCCACCCAGGCGGACACGTGGAGCTACATGATAGGCCAGTATTAGCGGCAGATCTGCTCAACCGAAACCCTAAATGCTGCGTCGCTCACCCCACCGTCTTCCACCACCCGCACGCCGCCGTACTCTCGCCGGAAACAACCCTCGTTCTCGGCAACAAATACTACGTCGTTCCACTAGGCACCATAAGGAAGCTTCGACTCAAGCACAACAACAGCAACAAAAACAACTCTTCTGTACTTGGAGAAAAAAATCATAATCGACGAAATTACAGTAATATTGGGAAAAAGAACGAAGAAGGCGATGATGAGTTGTCGGATTGTAATTGGTTGTTTAGTTGCGGCAAGAATAAAAATAATAATAATGATGGTGCAAAAGAAAAGAATGGGAAAAATAGTGACAGATGTATAATTAGCGACGAATCGAAAATTGGAAGGGGAAGGAATAATAAGGAATATTCTTCTTGTGCATCGTCACCGCCGGGGAGATTATCACTTGCTTCTTTGGATAATTGGCATCCTGGCTTAGAAAGCATTAATGAAGAATATTAATTAAAATTGATGTTTTTCATTTGTGTTGTGTATATAGTTTGCATCTTTTAATTTCCAAATTTCCATCAATTGATTGGTATTTTGAAAAATTATTGAAGTTATTTGGGTTATAATTTAAAATTCCGATTTCAAATTTCTCTCTTTTTAATTTGAAATAAATTTTGTTTTAATTTTTTTAAATAAATTTGAAGATACCCTCTCCATTTTTCTTTAATTCCATTTGTTATTCTTTTGAAAATTATTGGAAAAGAACCTGATTTTTAATATTTTACTTTCGGAAAAAATACTTAGAAACGCCACAATCGGCAGAGAAAAACATGAGTTCGAGCTCGAGCTCATCTTTTATTGTTTGAAAGCTCACAATCGAGCTCGAGTTCATGAGCTTGAGTTGTATGATAGCTAAGCTTGAGCTCATTTTTTATTGTTTAAAAGCTCACGAGCCAACCGGTGAACTTTTATTTATATATAATTATATATATATATATATTTTAACTATAAATGTACAATAAAAAATATTAGTAATAAATAATAATACATAAAGATAGAACCAGCAAAAAAAATTTATTTCAAAAAAGAAGAATTGCCATTACAAGCCAGAGTTTACAGACGACACAACTCGCACGTGCGCCAAACAACATTATTTCTCACTATAACTTCTGGCTGAATGCTCAGTCTATAATTTATGACCTACGCCTACCCAAAAAATTCACTAATTCCATCAACTGGAGATCATTAAGCTTATTACAGCACTAGAAAAAAATACTAATGCTGAAAATTCAATTAAAAAAAAAAAAGAAGAAAATTCAACTTATTACAACTGTTCTCTCCAGTCTCTCGCAGAAAATTGTCATGCTCTTTAAACTGTGTAGTGCTGGTTAATATTGTCGATGTCGAGTCCCTTTAGCTTCACGACCGACTCCACGTGTCCCTTCAGCGTGTGAAGCTCTCTCAGCCTGTCGTAAAAAAAGAACGAATCAAAATCGAGAAACTATGGATATAGTGAAGTGGATTGATCGAATTTATTTGAAGTACGTACCGTGCGACTTCAGCCCGTTTCTTGGCCTGTTCGGCGATTTCGGACAGCTCTCTGTAGTTGTTCCTGTCGTTGAACAGCTCCGTGTTCTCCGGTCGACGGAGGCCGTGCTTAGTGCGTTGCTCCAAAGCCCACTGAGCTTCTTTCTCTCCTCGCCCGTAGTCGTTCTTCGATTGGAATGCCGTCTAGAGGAAAAAAAAGAATATATATCAAGAATGACGAAAATGCCCTTCGATTACGGGACTATGTATGGTCGAAATGAAATGACGAAAATGCCCTTGAATTACCCTGTTGTTGATCATGTTGTTCCATGCCTTGCCGGTGAGTGCGTATCGGATGAGGAACTTGAAGATGTCGAGTGGGATGTAGAAGATGACGCTGTATATCCATATAACTCCGGCCCATCCCCATCCGATGCCTTCGATCCTCGCGAACCCCCAGTTTGCGTACACGGCAATTACAGTGGCAATCTTGTAATATCATTGAAGATTATGTCTCTTTTAGTGAATGATTATCAAACATGTAATAATATTGATAACACTAGGATTTTCTTTTTCTTTTTTTATAGCAAGTGGTGAACTAACTGACCAGCTGAGCTACGCAGAAGGCGGCCACGAGAAGAAGACCGGGGCGTTCGACGTACGACCAGCTCCTCGATCGAGTCACGAAGATTAGGGCCTGGCTGATGATACTCACTTGAAGATAAACAGCCGAATTCAGCGCTTCGTTGTTTTCGCCTATGTGCCTCACACCGAATTTCTCCTGCAAAGAATTAAAGAAAAATAAATTGTTCTGATACCACTCGAGCAATGCCCTTGCAGTATCGGTTTGGTTCGTAGATGAAAAGATCCGTTTACCGTGAAAAAAGTGGATTCTTTAACGGCCCAGAAGAAGACGACGGTCATAACGGCTTGGTAAGTACCGAACACGACTCCGGTGGCGAAGATCTCGTTCAGCTTCCACGAGTCGGGCATGGGGGACGGCTTCACTCGATCTTTCGAAATGGTCATGATGGTGCCGTCGTTGAGGATGGCGATGATCAGGACCATGAAGGGCGGGAAGTCGAACTTCCAGATTAGGGCTAGGAGCATGAACCCTAGGACGATACGTATGGTGATCGAGACCGCGTAGATTGTGTAGTTCTTCATCCTCTGGAAGATGGCCCGGCTCGTCAGGACCGCGGAGATGATCACGCTCAACCCGGGCTCCGTCAGGACGATGTCCGATGCGCCGCGGGCCGCGTCCGTGGCGTCGTCGACTGCGATCCCGATGTCGGCCTTCTTTAGGGCAGGGGCATCGTTCACGCCGTCCCCGGTCATCCCGCAGATGTGCTTCATTTCTTGGAGCTTCTTCACGATCTCGTATTTGTGCTCTGTACATAGGGTTTTGAAAAGCAGAGTTATTTACGAGGTTATAGCATTTAGTAACCCAAATTGCTAAAAAAAAAAAAGCTCGTCGTGTTAGTGTTTTTTTTAGGGTTTACCGGGAAAGACGCCGGCAAATCCATCGGCCTTCTCGATGAGTTCTTCGACGGGAATATTAGCAATGCTCTCGTCCTTGTGCTGGCCGAGAAGCGACGACGAGGGATACATATTTGTACCCATTCCGAGCCTTCGTCCCGTTTCCTTTGCGATAGCTAGCTGATCTCCGGTGATCATCTTTACGTTGACACCGAGATGTAGGGCCCTCCTGATTGTCTCGGCACTGTCGGTTCTTGGGGGGTCGAATAGGGGCAAGAGACCGACGAGGCTCCACGGCCCTCCGGCGCTCTCCTTGGTCTTTTCCGGAACATCCTGTAATACGAATTACGATATAAATAAATTGTTATTATTGTTGAAAATATGTTGGGTGGAAAAAAAAAACGAGATCTTGAAATCTTGAAAATCGGACCTGTTGGCAAACGGCTAGCGAGCGAAGGCCGCGCTCGGCAAACTTGTCGATGATGGAGTGGCATTTCTTCTTCACATCCTCCTTAAGGTTGCACAGATCGATGATCTATTTTCGGAAACAATAAATTACAAATTTAGTGGAATAGCTAATTTTTTTTAGGTAGACGAAAAACAACGTCGCTGTATATACTCGTGTTGATTTTTTACCTGTTCGGGTGCACCTTTGCTAGCTCTGTGCCAGTTTCCGTTGCCGTCGATGTAAGTAATAGCCGTACGTTTCTCGACGGGGTTAAACGGAAGGAAATGCACCTCCGTTATTCCCGCTCTTGCCTAGAGCACAATAATTTGAAACAAAAAAAAGAAAATGAGTTAATTATAATTATATTATATATTACAACTCAAAATTTAGAAAAACCATTGATGGTTAAAATTTTACCTCTTTGGCATCGGACAACATCGAAACGATGCAAGTATCGATCGCGTCTTGATTTTCCACCCTGGAAGCTCTTGCCCCCATAAGTATTACAAAGTCCTCATCGATATCTTTGCTAAATACCTCGATTAGGGATTTGTCGACGGTGAGCTTGTTGAGAGTAAGAGTTCCGGTTTTGTCACTGCACAAAACATCCATTCCGGCCAATTCTTCAATTGCCGTCATTCTCTTGGTGATGGCGCCTTGTTCCGATAGCCTGTGGGACCCGATCGCCATGGTGACTGATAGCACAGTCGGCATGGCGATGGGGATTCCTCCGATGAGTAGGACAAGTAAATTGTCGATTCCGTCCCTATACCTCCTATGCTGGATCGGGTACATTACAATTATCTCGATCACAATGCCGATGCCAATTGAGCATATGCAGAAGTTACCGATCGCCGTCAACACCTAAACCCACCATTTTTTTTTTCAAAATTAGAAGAAAATTTGAAATATTTAAAAAATACACGTAATCTTATCCTGAAAACCAAACGAACCTTTTGGAAGTGGCCGACATTTTGGGTGCTATCGACGAGATGTGCGGCTTTGCCGAAGAAAGTGTTGATGCCGGTGGCGATGACAATGGCCTCGATTTCTCCTTGCTTGCATGTGGACCCGGAGAAGACTTCGCTCCCCGGATTCTTAGTCACTGGCAAAGATTCTCCCGTGAGTGCCGATTGGTCGATCTTGAGGGGATCGCCTTCTAGAAGACGAGCGTCCGCGGGCACAATGTCACCCAATTTGATGCTGATGATGTCACCGGGGACGAGGATCGCGGCTTCTTGCTCGCCCCACCTCCCGTCTCGCAATACCTTCGTCTTCGGAGCAAGGCCAGCCATTAGAGCTGCTGCCGCATTGCCTGCATTGTTCTCTTCGATGAAACTAATAGTGGAGTTGATGATCAACAATGCTATGATACCGACGAAATCTTGCCAATCCGGGGGTTTGCCCTAAAATCGATCGAAAAATTTATTACAATAAAATAAAAAAAAAAACAAAAATCTAAGACAAAAAATGAAGGGTTTGAATTTTACCTGTCCATTTGCAAGAGCAATTGCCATAATGGCAGCCATCTCCATAACCCATGACAAAGGATTCCACATGAAACCCAAGAACTTCAGAAACTTGCTTTCCTGTTTTTTTTTTTTTTTGGGAATAAAATTTAATTAAATTAATTTAAAGAAAATAAGAAAAAAAAATAAATAAAATGGATTAGTGATGAGTTCTTGCCGTCTTCTCTTCAAGCTTGTTTGGACCAAAAACATTGAGCCTCTTTTCGGCTTCATCGTTCGTCAACCCTTCCTTCGAACACTGCAGTTGAACAAACACTTCCTCCACCGGCATATGCTCCTGCATTTTCATAAATTAATACGGTCGGGATTAGCGAAATTCTATTAATTTTGCGAAATATTAAATTATCGAACTAATAGTTTAGAAAGTTAAACGTCTATAAATTAATACGATCAGTACTAGCGATATTCTATTAATTTAGCGAAATATCAAATTATCGAACTGATATATTAAAAGATTTTTATGAATTTGGGACAAGAAAAAAACTATTATTTAAGCGAAATTATTAATTTATCGAAGAATTAATAAAAAACATAAAAATAAGATCGGCAAGAAATTCTTACGAGATCAACATTCTCATTCTTTATCTCTTCCATACTAATACTCGCCATCTTTTATTCTCTCTTATGATCTTCGTTTCTCTTTCTCTCTCTATATCTAGATCTCTTCTCGCTCGATCGATACGTACAACACGTTATGTATCTATATATATATTTTCTCTTTCTAAAAGGGTAGTAGTATATATAAGAAAATATGAAAAAAGAAAAAAAAGAAAAAAAGAAAAAAGAAAAAAAAAAACTGGTTTTTCTAGGGTTTGCTAGTGAGAGAGCTTGAAAGCTTGTAACTCTGAGGTTCTTGGGAATGAGGACGTTTGGTTTTATAGTAGTCGGTGTAACAAATTTAGAGATATTATTAGTAATTATAATTATTGATTGTCAATTAATTTATTAATTAATAATTAATATATTATATACTAATAATAGTGAAATAAATGCCACCTGGATGAAGGAGCGGCACTCTTGTTACTCTTAGGTTGGGTGTTGATCTCTTCATCCCGGTCAAATGGGCAATTGCTAGGGGGAGGGTTTTGCTGGCGTTACATGCTTTGTTTGGTTTGTTTCTGTTAAGGTCGAATGGGGATGTGACACGTGGCGGACTTGTCAAACTGTTTTAACTTGGGTCAACACCATCGAGTGGGACTTTTTCAAGGGGTGCGCGCGTGCGTGCACCTTTTGGAAGTGGTCCGATTTGTGGAGAGAATCCGAATTAAAATTATTTAGGGTAAATTACAGCCGGCCACCTGAGGTAATGTCATATTACGACAAAACTCTATCTTGTTTGAATAATTACAACTACCTTTCAATTATGAATCTTCTTACACGTCCACCCTTGCAGTGTCAAATTCTACGTAATCTTCTAGATTCCGTGGAATGTTCTCTAGTTTGTACTCGTTTTGTGCAAAAATGCAGTTTATAGCACACCACAATCTGATATTTACAAGTCAAGAGACACATCTTCTGATCATCTTATTTCAAAATGTGAAGCTCGCATGGGCTAAAATGGGTACACAAAGGAGAATATTCTACATAATTTAGAAGATTCTACTAAATTTGACAATGAAATAATAGACGTGTAAGAAGATTCATAGTTGAGGGAGGTGGTTGTTGTAATTACCCAAATATGAAGAATTTTTTTCGTAATTTGACCTTACTCTAGGAGAGTAACCGTAATGTACCCAATTATTTAATAAAGATTGAATCATTAAATTAGTATCTCTTAACAATCGCTTAAAAAAAGGAACTCCTCAACTAATCTTATATTAATCAATATATGGGTATGAATAATGATTAATGAATAATGAATTTGAATATGACTGCAATTATATATATATATATATATATATATATATATATATATATATTTCTGTTTCTCTCTCTCTCTCTTCTTCTCAAGTATTTCTTTTTCTCTTTCTCTTATCTTCTCACGTATTTTTTCTTCTCTCCCTCCTTTCTCTTTTCACGATTTTTTTCTCTCTCTCTCTCCCTCTCTCCTTTCTCCTCTCTACTCTTTCACGTTCTCTCTCTCCCTCCTTATACTCCCTTTGATTTTTCCGATGGAATACATAGCAAAACAAAAGAGAGTTTCTTTACATTATGAGATTATATGTTGGTGAAAGAGTTAATAGCCGACAACAAACAACTCATGCTAACAAAAAGTTAACTCTTTACTTCTCCCTCTCTGTATTTATTTGTAGTGATTTTATAATTTTTGTTTGTGTTTTCTAATTGATTTTGCTCCAGCAAACAACAAAAAAATTTTGCAATGGCAAAATAAATTTGAAGCATATAACAGAAAACTGCAAATTGCAATCCATAAAAGTTGATTTTTTGCAAACTGCAAATCGCAATTTTAGTCATTGGAAGATTTTGTTGTTATTTTTTTACATTTGTATTATGTTTATTATTTTTTATTAATGTTGTTATTGCGTTTGAATTTAGATGGTTTGGATCATATTTTCAGTTTGTTGTTCGCAATTAGATGAAGTAGTTTGTTGTTTGCATTTGGTCGATTCATATGTAGTCTACTGTTTGCACTTAATAATGCAAATTATATTTTTCAGTTTGTTGTTTCAATTTGGTAAAATCATTGTGGAAGTTTTTTTGAGAGTCTGCGTTTTTCAGCAAATATTTTCTTTTACGACGCGATATTGTTCTTTTATTTAAAATTGAGAGAAAGATGTTTTGGGAAATTTGATTTGATAGAGAGATTTTTGGGGGATTTAATTGATAAAGATATTTTGGGGTTGTTTGATTTGGATTGATCAAGGGTATTTTTGTCATAATAAATACAATTAATTTATTAAAAAATAGGATTTTTTACTAGGATTTATTCACATAAAATTTAACATAGAGAGACCTATAGCAAATTGCCCCATATATATATATATATATATATATATATATATATATAAAGAATATGACCGCAATTTTGGTTATACATAATTTTTTCTTTGTACTTCCTCCGCTCCAAATTAATTGTCTTTAGGAAATTTTTCTTATTCCAAATTATCGATCACTTTAAAATTTCATTGATGCATTAATTACTATTTTTTTCAATTTTGCCCTTATTACTATTCATTAATTGAAAGAGAATTAATAGAAACAACATTAATAACATGTATATTTTAATCATTCTATATACTTTCTCTAAAATCGACACATATTTACTAGTTTTCTTAATATGTGTGAAACAATGCAAAACGATACATATTTTGGCATGCAAGGAGTAATATTTTCTTTATTTTCTCTTTTTGTTTCTTCGTTTTCTTTTGAAATAAAACTTATTTTTCATTTATAACACATCTTAGCTTAGTCCTACAAGTTCATTTGTTTATTTAAAATCAGATCTTGCAACTTAAAATCAGATACCACGCGCTGTGTGTAACGGTGGAAATCGAAACGATTTTTTCTCTCATATTAAAATTTCCGCCTCATAGTTTTTTGATAGACAATGGTCTTTCTCATAGTCATAAATTTCTCACCGGTAGTTGAAATTTGATGGTTTAATAGCTCCCCATAGGCTCTCAAATGAGCCCTTTATAAGAGTAAATATTTTAAAGTCACATAATTCCCAACCAAGTCCCGTAGTAATAATTTAAAGATAATCGAGAAACACGCCTTTAAAGTAAATGACATCCGGGGAAATGCTAGCCCCTTAGCAGGTGAAATTGGTTATGACTTGAGTGTGACCGAGTCATGATCGAGAAATGGTGCCAATCGAAAGTTGCCACAAGACAACCACACATTGGCTAATGAGTAGTCGTGTGTTTGGCTGGCATTTGAGGGCGTTTGTCCAAAAAATCAAGGATTGATTGGTTACCAATGAATTCCATAATATATACCTTTAGATTTCTTGGATGTGTCCAAACAGTTACTGAGCTAAACATTACACATTAATTTTATTTTATGGCGTCACATTATACAAATTTATTCATATATGTTTGGTTATTGCTAATTATATATATATATATATATAATATTATAAAAAAGTATAAAGATAACAAGTAAAAATACATTTAATTTTAGAAAATATAAGAAACTTACATGTAATAAAATAAAATATTAGACATAATTTTTTCGAATAGTTATAAATATTATGTTGTAGAAAATAAAGGAAAAAATTAAAAACAAATTACAAATATTCTATAATAGTAGGTATTGTACGGTACGGCACGGTATTACCATGATATTGAGAATGCAATATCATTACCATACCAACCATATGCGGTACGATACTTATATTGTACTGAATGAAATGGTAACACCTACTTTAGTATTTTTTTTTGGTAAACTTCGATTGGTATACCGTGGTATTCAACTATTGGTGAAAAAAAAAGAAAATTGTATATTTTTTCTCTACAAATTACTCCAATATGGTAATTAATTGAAGTGTATTTCCTTCCATAGAGACATCTATTCATAACAGTATAAGTCTAATAAATAATTTAATTAGGTCTCCTAATCTAATTAAATATCTAAAGTCCTAATTATACACCAACATTGTATCTAATTTAATTTTGCATATATACATACCATCTCAATATTTCTTTTTTCCACATATATATACGAGTACTCATCAATTAATTAATCACAAAAGTTAGAGAATTAAAAAAAAAAAAATCATTATTTAATTGTATTTTAATTTTAAGAAAGCAAATCCAATACAAGGATCTGCTATCGTACACCGTCTTCCAGATATCTTCCCCTCTCTGCTTTTCGGATTCAGACTTTGCAGATTCTCTCTCTCTCTCTCTCTCTCTTCTCTCTCTTTTCTTTCGTTGGGGAAGAATTAGAGAAGAGAAGGGTATTTGTGTATTAAATTTTATTTTTTCTTCTTCTTCCCGCATCTTTTAGTGCGGAATTTCTGTTGGTATAATTCGCAATCCTTGAAAAAATTATGCCGCGTGCTTCGTCGAGAAAAGGCCCTACTAATTCGACGGCGTCGGGAAATTCGTCAGCCGTGGATCTTTTCCGCGCAGGTCTGTGATCATATCGTAATCAAAATTGAATTGTTTTGTAGCTTAATTGTATTTGTAATTTGTAGCTTTTGAAGATAAAAAATAAAATAAAATAAAAATCTGATCTTTATTTGTTTTACTTTTAGATAGATCTGCCTGTATTGTTTTTTTCGATGATTATGCTTAAGGAGAAGTCGGTTTATACTAAATCAGCTTTAATTGTGAATCGGGATTAGTGAATTTTATGATAATTAGATTAATTAATTATTTATATTAATATTTGGAGCATCCTCGTTGTTCCGGAAAAAAAAGAAGAAGCTTTGAATCGGCCTGAATTATGCGAAATTATCTGATATTCCGATTTTGTCGAATGAATTATCGGGCGTAGGGTTGAGAATTTTGTTTTCGCAATTTCTAACATGTACACCGGAACATTAATATATTATTATTTTTGGAGTTTCGATTATTTTTGGAGTTTCGATTATATTTGGAGCTTTGATTATATTTGGAGCTGGAACTGTAGTCAAAGGCGGAAGCCAATTTTGTGATATGCAACGAAAAACGAGAGAATAAAAGCATGTTTTATTTTCTTTCAGCTTCTGGTAAAGCAGCTTCGAAAGAGCTGGAGCGAATAGATCAACTATTTTATTCATATTCGAGCAATTCCTGTGGTATGATTGAGTAAGTATCATATATTCCAATCTCACGATTTCAAAGTTAGTCATTGCAATTTTATTTATTTATTCTTTATGTTCATAATATTTAATTACGTGTCTAATTTCGGATTCTTTCGTAAACAGTCCAGAAGGAATCGAGTCCCTCTGCTCGGACTTGGAAGTTGACCACACGGATGTGCGTATATTAATGCTTGCATGGTGAGTCATTTTTCCCGTTTAGTTTATCTACGATTTATATTTTATACATATTGGAAATTGAATTTAGTGATTTTTGGTTTTAGGAAAATGCAAGCGGAGAAGCAGGGTTACTTCACTCTGGTAAGGCTAGTTCGTTATCGTATCTCGACTTCCGAGTTCTTTAATATTTTCGAAGAGTTGAATATAAAATCGATTAGTCTTTGTATACATATAGAAGCTAACTCGTATATTTCCGTTGTTGTTAGGATGAGTGGCGAAGTGGCCTAAAAGGGCTAAGAGTTGATACGACACTTAAACTGAAGAAAGCACTTCCGGATCTCGAGAAAGAGGTACGTTTTATAATTAATTATTACATTTAAAATTATACGTACGAATTTCTAGTGATTTAGTGATATGGCCTACGGAATTTTATTTTAATATGATATATAAATTATTTTCCAGGTCAGAAGGCCACCAAACTTTGCGAATTTCTACTCGTTCGCCTTTCGATATTGCTTGACCGGTAATTTAATTATACGAATTAATTTTGTTGGAGGCTTTAGTTTCTGTTTCTGTTAACTTATAAATTTTTTTATTATTTTATATTTTTCTTTCAGAGGAGAAGCAGAAAACCGTAGACATTGAAAGTATTTGTATCCTCCTGGATCTTATTCTAGGATCGGTATTTCGCCCTCAAGTGGATTTGCTTACTCAATATCTGAAGGTTTTGATTTTTGTTTCGGAAATTCTCGTTCAATCGATTATGATTTTTTAGAATTATGAGTAGTATTTATTTTTTATTTTTTATTTTTTAATAAAGTTTAATTACAAGTGTGATCCGGCTCGTAATTGACATGGCTGATTGCAGATACAAAGTGATTACAAGGTCATTAACATGGATCAGTGGATGGGTTTCTATCGATTCTGCAACGAGGTAATGTGATTCCTTCACTTTTCGACTCGTTGAACAGTTAATTGTGTAATATATTCAGAAAATACAAAAATCGCTCCGGTACCCTGTTTTTACTATAATTGACCAATTGTCAACATTAAATAAAAATCCCTCTATTTTTTTTCCTTAAATTACAACCACCCCCGAGGTAACGTCTATTTACGAAAAAAAACACTAATTTTTCCATAATTACATCCACCCCTGCAATTTGTAGATTTCTTATATTAACACCCTTTTGGAGGGGTTCGATAAGAAATTTACAAACTACAGGGGCGGGATGCAATTTCTCAAAAAAAAAGGGGGCTTTTTTGTAATTACACTTTACTACAGGGAGGTGATTGTAATTTACCCCCCCCCCCCCTCTCTTTTTGGTAAACCCCTTTTAGAATATGGTTTTTTTTCTTTCTTAAATTTATTATTTTTATGAAGCTGTGTTTTGTTGATGTATGGAAAACAGATCAGCTTTCCGGATCTTAGCAATTACGATCCCGATCTTGCGTGGCCGTTGATCTTAGACAACTTTGTTGACTGGTTAAGATCTGACCGAGCCTAAATCTCGTCTCGTCTTGGTGAAGCCACACTAGTACCGATTCCCCAATGTAACACATATTTTCTCAATTTGTCCCTTTATATTAATTTAAATTATGCTGATTTTGCTAACATTATCTTCATTTGATCTAACTTTCAGGTTGTGACAATAACAGCAAAATCGAGCTATGTGGAGTGGTTTCTACTTTGATTGATTTCGTATTTATATATATAAACTGAATAGCGCTCCTGTATTTTTCCTTAGCACTTATACCTATTTTCAGAACCTTCTAGACTTTATATCAACAGATTGCCTTGAGTTTTTTAAATATAGTTACCATTATTTTTCCGTATTTTGTTTGGCTTGTTCCGTAATTGACCGTATATATAAGATTTCGATATGCGTATCTGATTTTTGCTTATGATAAATCCAATTTTTATGGAGGATTGCATTTGAATAATTGAATATAACATCAGCATTAGGTACTTTATAATACATATATTTATATATGTTTCAATCTTTTCATTCAAAATTTTGAAAATTTGACTTTTCAGATTATTTTTGGAGCATAATTGAAGTTAATTTTTCAATTTCGAGAAAAATAGAATTATTCGGACATGCTAATGCAAAGATACGTTCTCTTGTTCCACCAACTAGGCCATAGTGATAATGAATGATCATTGTTTGTACTATAAATCAAGCATTCTTTGAACTTTAAGCAAACATTATATATATATATATATATATATATATATATATATATATATATATGTAGTATATATATAGATATATATATATATATATATCTATATATATATATATATAAGATCTATGTATATCTGTTTATGTTTATATATATATATATATATATAGAGAGAGAGAGAGAGAGAGAGAGAGAGAGAGAGAGATATATATATATATATATATATATATATATTTATACATTTATATATCTATAATCTGTGACATCTACGGTATCTAAGGGGGCGGCGGCAGAGATCTAGCGACTCCCCCCGCCAATGA